CTCATATCTGTGTCAATGTTTGTCACCAAAGCAGTGACAATCATTAGTATCACTGAGACAACTGCAAGCAGTAATACTCTACTAGGTCCAGCTAGACAAAATTGTATAGATTAAGCTTTTTAAGGTGAAGTTTACAAATAACTGGATAAGAAAGTGACCTTCAAAATTCCTGTTAGCTTTAATTACAACATTGTTGATTTTGTAAACGTGGCATGTTCAATCTTACGACAACAGTTTTTAGTAATTAGACCATCAGCTAAAGAATAATCAGAATCAATGATCACTAGTCTTTGTGCGAGAGAGTAATTCTTGTAGTCTGTTTCCCCCTCTCACCACCTCGTTGTTTTTATCACAGAAGTATATGGCCTGATTCATTCTGTCACATGAAGTACTTTTATTATCTAGGTCAGATTCCTGTGTATTTTGTAGACGTTTAGAAATCACACAAATATTCTCATTAACTTCACTTCACTTCAATTCGCTTTTCTCTAACGCAATGAACATTACATAGTTTAAGCAGAATGGAGAGGTGAAGGATCACTCTGATAATAGAAGCACCCAAAATCATTATTTATAAAATTAATTCAATAAAGCAATCTGTGTATACACTATGAAAACGTGGAGAGATACCAGTCACCATAGTTGATTCAAAGCAACCATCATCTTGTGCGGCTTAAAGAGACCTGTGATGAATAGTGTAGTTGTTAAACATTTCAACAGCCATGATCAGGTTGAAAATTTCAGTGTCACGCTTTGTAGTCCTAAGGTAATTTCCTAGTTGACGAAAGCATTTATTCGTCTCTGAATATCTTAAATATTCCAGTAGTCGATTAGTCATGCCACTTGTTATTCGCCTCACTCACGAACGACCCAAAGTTTCGGTCATGCATTGGCGTCTAGTGTTTCACAGATTATAGCAATAGCCTTCTCGTGTTTTTGACTTGCTCGATACTTCCATCAACCTAGATTCTCTATGAAATATATCTGAATGAAGACCTAGTGAATGTAACTCCCACGGAACACTGATGTAATCAGGATATTCTGCAAAAATATAAACATCATTCTTATTCCTACTTGAGTCCTTTGAGAAAAGTTCAACCTGGTGACTGTTGCGTGATATATCTGTGCATTTTCAGAGAATTAAAAGTCAATCTGAAGGAAGAATATTCTTTTCAATAATTTCTCTTCAGGTTCTTACAATTATAAAATATAATATTTGTTGTCGTTACAATAATGTCAGGCGGATACATTTTTTTACGTAGAATAACAGATTAGTTATGGGGTGTCAAAATAAATAGTCGTATTTGTGTGACAAACGTGCTAGGCTGAATTCGATTACAAAATAATGTAAAACGGGAGACAATGGTGATTAATCATAATAGATTTGTAGAGTGGGGGTAGGAAAATTGACAAGTCAGTTCAAGGTTATAAAAGGGTGTCAGGTGAGTGGCTAGTACAAAGTGGTCTGTGTTAAACAGGAGATAGTAAGACTGCATTGGGAGGTTCATAATGAGATAACGAATATGTGAAATGAAACAGGTGGAGGCATATATTGAGAAAAGAGATTATATCACTAATAATAAGTCCGGATAGTATAAACGAAAAAAAAAATTCGATAGTATTGAGAGAATGTTTGCATATAATGTTTGATATAATCTCTTTTCTCAATATATGCCTCCACCTGTTTCATTTCACATATTCGTTATCTCATTATGAACCTCCCAATGCAGTCTTACTATCTCCTGTTTAACACAGACCACTTTGTACTAGCCACTCACCTGACACCCTTTTATAACCTTGAACTGACTTGTCAATTTTCCTACCCCCACTCTACAAATCTATTATGATTAATCACCATTGTCTCCCGTTTTACATTATTTTGTAATCGAATTCAGCCTAGCACGTTTGTCACACAAATACGACTATTTATTTTGACATCCCATAACTAATCTGTTATTCTACGTTAAAAATGTATCTGCCGCATAACTGGCCTTATTGTAACGACAACAAATATTATATTTTATAATTGTAAGAACCTGAAGAGAAATTATTGAAAAGAATATTCTTCCTTCAGATTGACTTTTAATTCATAATATGGGAATTTTCGACACTATCAAATTTTCAGAGAAGATGAGTTCCTATTTCTCCCTTTGTTCAACTTCACTTTAAATTTCACATATATTGTCCTCAAACTATTGAAGTTGTGCCATTTTAATATCATGAGACATGTTAAGTGACAGTTATTTTATGACGAGTAAGACAAGCTAACATTAGAATTCGACCGAATTTTTATTTCACTTGGTGATGGCGATAATTTGTAATTGAATTGTCATTTCTACAAATACTTCAGAATCAAGTGTTTGCGAAACTGAATGCTGAAGACATAATGAAGGGCGTTCTCAACGGAATTCTTACTCTTCGCTTTAAGCATCAATCTATTGGATATTCACATGTAGTTATCAATACTTGAATTGCAGAAATGGTTGTTTTTCAAGATGTAAACGATTCTGATCCACTCCTTACATTCAAGGTTATGTAGGATATGTCCCATTGAAAGAATCGATGATGAACTAGAGACACTTAGACAAGACCTCATGGGAGATGAACATCCTTCAAGATTAATCTAAGCATGAAAGTAAGACAAAAACCAGAAAAAGAATTCAGACAGCGCCAAAGAAACTGCTATTCTTGAACGTTGAATTTACAAGTGATGCTGTAACCAAGATACTGGAGAATCGCTTATCCAGATCACTGAGAAAAACCTTTTTTTCTGCTGGACTACGTATCAATTTATACAGCTAACAAATGATCAGTGGATTTGTGAATGATAAACTGCTGTCAATTCAATGTGTGTTTCTGTCGAGCTAGTTTCAGTGACCGCACGATGTGTACACTTTCCAAACGCATCTGTGAACATTATTCGGCATAGTTAGCAAAAAGACAATGCAGTATAGATACTGGTTGAATTCACGAGGACTTGATGAACTCAAGCCACGCAGCTCTAGCAGAGTCGTCTTTCAAGAATATCTACAAGGTGAGGCGAAATGGTAAAAAGAGTGTTAGGTATTGGCATCTGTGTTTGGCGGAGTTGTTCACAATTCGTCAATGCAATCGTGTATTTTGTAAAGAGAAAACGTTTGTCCAACGTTTATCCTATTAGCTTAATGTTAAAAATTGGATACGCCGGTAGAGTATAACTCCATTTTGTTTTGATATAAATACACAGTGTTGTACAGAAATATTCACTGATGACTGATTTCGAATTATTGTGTAAGTGTGAAGTACAGAAATACATGAACATATCCATAATGCATTAAAAAGAATATTATTGAGTGAATGAATCTCAAATAAGTCTAAATGTGGGTGATACACTTTTCCATGGAATTCTTGTTCTTGAATGACTGATCTTTCCGTAAAAAGTATGAATGGCAGCAAACGCTTTGTAGATTGCACACTGCTAATGCTGACGCAGAGCAAATGGCGAACAGGGGCGAGGTTTCCTAATCTGTGGAACCTTTGGAGGGACTTTCACTTTTATTTCTTTACAGGACCGTCTGTGTTGCCTATCGCCAGTATAACGTGTGGTTTAGTTCGATTTCAACAACAAATCCGTCCTCAAACTTGTCATTGGAATACCGTGGCTATTGAGGAGGATGTATGCTTCAGCTGTGGTCTCAACGGTCAGTGCTGACTCGTTCCTTGAGAACGGAGTGATCATCAACACAGGATTAGTATTTATCATTGAAATAGAGTGATGAGTTGAGGTGATAGTGAAAGTGGTTTTGGAGAAACAAGCAGTTTCTGTTTTCCAAAACGCGAGGAATTAGTAGAGTGAGATTCATCACCAAATAATCTATGAAAGTCAATCACTACTAAGGCCTCTGAATGTCTAGAATTAGGAGACCGTCTTTTGCTATAGATTTCATATGGTTTTAATGATTATTGCAACTTACCATTTGAAGAGATTTATGTGTTTTGGAATAACTGCTATGGCTGATATCAGATGAATGCTCACCGGCTGTTCTTGTAAGCCATTAACTTGTGCTGATCATCTGAACTTACATTATTCCAGTTTACGAGCAGACAAGCACACATGTGACACGTGATATTATTGCGTTTATATCGGGTATTTCAGCAATCATGAACTGGCTTTTTATGGAGAATTATTGTCTAGTTAATGGAATACGCAGCTAATCATGCAAGGATCCATTGTGTGTCCTCTTGAATGATTGTTGCATAGCCACTGTAAATAAATAGACCGCAGCATTTCCATATTCACCTATAGTCCTGATTTTTATTTTTTAGTTTTTTTAGTTTTTGATTACAGCTTGATGCCACACCGTATTCTCAGTACAAGTATGAAATTTTCAGCATGTGATATCGGTAGCCCAAATTTTACAGGCCGACCATAGATATCGAGTGTGCGTCGGCAGGGGATCGAACCCCGGACCATGTGAATGGTCGGCGAGAGTCCTAACCACTGTGCCACCGACGCATCGAAATCGACTTGTTACATATATGCCCGAGAATTGGGTATTTGTTATTCACTGCTTAATAGATAACGTTAGCATGTAAAGAAATAAAAGTGAAAGTCCCTCCAAAGGTTCCACAGATTAGGAAACCTCGCCCCTGTTCGCCATTTGCTCTGCGTCAGCATTAGCAGTGTGCAATGTCACTGATACCATTATCAAAAGTAAGTCTTCCTCATTGATGAACTAAAAAGCTGAATTCCATATACCGTCATTTTAAGTGTGAATTTGTTAACGTTCATAGACATGCAAATGACTCAGGCTGAGAACAGCGAATTCATCTGATCAGTCGGAATAAGTTAATTAACTGGATGATTAAATTGTATTTAGAAAGCAGACAGTAAGCGTTAACATAAAAAGGAGTAATTTAGGTAAATGTTTTAATTAAATCCACTGCACATCAATACATTTCAGTAATATGCAGAATAAACGTTTCCGATGCTAGCGTGAGCAGGACATTCACATTCTTCTCTAGTTTCTTCCTCCTACTCCTGTAAAGAAAATAAAAGCAGATGAGAATTTATGATTTTATGCTGCAGTAAACAAGACCGAATGTCACGAGTATTGGGAGAGACACGAATGAATCGATAAGTTTTGACAACCGATGTTAACTTTAGGAGTAGAAGATCAAGCAACGCCTGTTGCGAGCATCATTCCATACCCAGAATGACTGAGAGTTAGTGACTCCAGTCATCCTGATCCATGCATTATTTTTCAGATATCTCAAATGCAGTTATTCGCACTAATGCTTGTGTGGGTGTGGGTGCGGCTGTCAGTGAGGGTGTATTGGGGATGTCTGACATGAATAAAATGATGATCCACCGATACCTACAACTCTTGTCACTGGTGTTCAAAATACAAATAATACTGTTTTCACGTGGACTGCATTTCAGTTTCAGTTATACACATTTATCCAAAAAGATGAGATGACAGTTTCTCTCATGATTGACTTTTGAAAGATGCAATGTGGGAGTTCGCATGAGGTAGTAGTTAAATCTTACGTTTCAAATTCTTAAGGGTAGTTTCATGAATTTTCTTGAACACTTGAAAGTGAAAGAGCAATATAAAGGTGACGTATTAGTTGAAGGAAAGCAAGCCTTGTTCATCAGTGTATATATTCTCTCTCCTACAAAAGATAATATCCGATCAGTAGTAATAAAGTACTTTGAATAAGTGCGTGTGTATACAAGTTATTTTATGAAAGACATTTCATGCTCAATCATTCAACACTGCTCGTATTGTTGTAACACTCATGTGTTGGGTAGTTTAGTGGTATAGAATTGAAGGCGGCAGTTATTCCAAAATCTGCGTTGTGATGACTATTCACTGTTGTTATGGTTGTTGATTCTGATTTTGACAAATGTGACGGCTGGTCTCCCAGACGCGTATAAACGTACATGTGAACACATCAAACAGTTTCTCCTCAACCGATCAATTTCTCCTAAATTTACTCCATTCCTTCTTTGCATTTCCACGTTGCGTAACAGAGTAGTAGCCATGCGTGTGGATGTGCATTAGGTCAGATTTTGTGTAAATAAACTGTTGCCTTCGAACATTTTGATGATTTCTACTTGAGAAGTGATCCTTTCGTTGACATTTCAGATTATTCTAGCTTTCTGTGGTCGGTTGACATTCTTCAGTGAATAGACCTATATACAACCAAGCGTCGCATACCGACTACCAACTGATGCACAGTTCTCCGAGAACCTGCTTATTCCAAGATAATTCTACTATTGATTTCGATTTTAAATATATAGCCATTATCAAGCGAACATTATTCATATAATCCCCGAGAGGTTTGCACATAATATGATCGCTGATTAAACAGAATATCAGGCAATGTTTGCGCTTTGGTTTTGTGAATAGATATTGACGCATATATCGAGTGTGTCAAACCCATGAACAAAACAGACGGAACTTACAAATGCTATCACCAAATTGCATTTGGTCATGGTATGATTTTCGTATTAACTTCTTCACTTCCTGAAGATCTGAAATTTGAAGAATAATGTCTGAATTTCAAAACTGAATGTCACAGAATCAAATATTGAAACGTGATCATGCAGAATACTGTGAAATAATTGATGGTTTGGTTTAGGGTGTTGTTGTTTAAACAGACGACTACGTGTTCATTCACTTGAATGTCGATCATTGAACGTCTTTGAAGACAGTCAAAATACTTTCGAGAAACCCTTACAACTCTATCGTTATCTGTTGAATTCGCATAATATTGACTCCATCAGTATCATAGGACTAAAAGATCTACCTTATAAGTAAATATACAGGAGTGTTCAAATTACATCAAAAGTAGTCTCAACTACATCAGATAGTTTCACAGACTTCAAATTTCACGTCATTGCACTTCGGAGATGTAATATGTGATAGCGACATTGAAAGGAAAGCAGTCTGATTGCACACTCGATGCTGTATCGTGCACATTGGTAGTTCAAATTCGAATTCACTGACAACGCCACCAGGTGAAAAGGTATGTGAATCCTGTGAAAGAAACTCATCCGAGAATTCATTTGACTTCCGAAAATTGACCTGATGAAATTCAAAAATTTTTTCCCAATATCTTCCAAAGCAGCGATCTTACATAATTTAATTTAAGGGTGTGTTGTCATTAGTAGATTACCATTTTTGTTTCCTGATGGTTCATAAAGTTCACAGTTAACTGTTGCTGATACTGATTGCCACTGAGCTGATTAAGAAACAGAAGGGAAGAACAGCACATTGAAACAAAGAGAAGGGAAACATTCTTTGAAGTTATCAATAATAACAAATACTCATGCAGCTACAGACCTATTGAATGTAAAAACACACACAAATCAATGTGGACTGAGTTATCTGGATTTACAAATCTCCAATCCGAACTCTGTGGTTTGTGTCTGAGATAATCAGGTGGGTTCAAAACTCAAGTTGATGCAAACGTAAATGACAAGTCAAGTTAGGAATGTTTATTCGATAAGTGAGAAGGAAGGATTCAAAACTAAACTGTTTACCTTCGTGAGCCTCAGCCTCTTCCTTGAAACATTGTTGAACAGAATGGTCCACAGTGAAGGTACCTGTATGTAAATGCATTTCAAACAACATTTCAACTCATGTTCATTATATTCTGAAAGTCTTATTAGATAAATGCGTGAGTTTATATACTGATTAGTGAGTGATTTAGATGCTCCTATCACGTATATTCTGAAACGGTTATATGGACTAAGGTAACTGTCTTCGATAACTCTGGTTTCAGATTGGGCAGTAACACAGTGATGAATGTTTTTCACAAAATGGCCTGTAAAATATCTGATCAAATTTCAGTGAGCATCGTGTACACTGGAAAAATCACTATCAGTAGGTAGTAGTAATTCTGATAAATTGTTGAAGTAATAATTCAGGAAGTATTTTTAGTGGAGGAATCAGGGAGACCATGGAAAGACGGTACGATGGTTGGTAAATAGAGGGTGAGCATAATGCAAGTCGAACATGAATGAACTACACGATGCCCAAGGATAACTTCATCGCTTAAATTCAGTAGTTCCTTATCATATGACATTGTAACTCGAGAAGTATTGTCAACACTCAAATTATATACTGGATGCAGATTAACTGATAACAACAAAACATGAAGTCAACTGATGTAAACTCAATTTACCATACTCCACAGGTCCGTTGGCGGCATCTATGAAGACAGAAAATGATAACTGACACTAAGAGATCATACAAGAGAATAATTCGTAATGCAGAATTCATCACTGTAATGTATGTGGATTAACATCACAGCTGACTGATTCCATGATATATTCAAGCATAATTTGTAGATCTCTTCTACTCACTATCACAATGTAATGACACTGACCAGCCCAAAGCATCCAATATCCATGAAATTTATTATTCCTTATCACATCCAAAGACGGAAATGATTCTCTTCAATCGTCCTCTTTCCATTAGGTTATTTTCCTTACAACTTCACAATGAATATATTCATCGATTCAATGAAGTGTTCATTCCATCGAAATTTCTAGTTAATGTCATTTGCCTAATGATCGATATTGGTGACAGAACCTTCTTAAATGATCCCTGACTTTAGAGTTCTGCACATGGTCATACAAATCGAAGGACCAGATAATGTGTGCAACAAACTGTGATGTAGATTGAAGCAAGTTGATAACATCTCGAAGAAAGCAGAAGTGAAATTCCCCGAAAATGTATCCTTCTTGACAGCCACAATGGATCACAAAGCTGTCAACATTAAATCAGTGAGTAATCTCATTAGATAAGATAATTGTTTCAAGACTGCAAGTGTAGTTTTAAAGTTGCAGGATCTCACTGAATTGTTCTGACTGCAAAGCTGCCGTGTTCAATCCAAATTTTGAACATTTTAAACAAGAGCAATAACCCAAACTCATCTGATACCCATGCAAATAAAGGCAGTATATACCGTTAAATTAAAACTTGGAACATACTTTGGAATAATACATATCCAAAGTAGGTTTCATAATACTTTCTCCAACAGCTGATATCTGAAAGAGTTTGTTAGTCATAGGAATTCATTAAACCGTCACTCACAGTTCTCAATGGTTCTGTTGCCTGTATCTGAACTTTCTTCAATAATATTTTCTATAGAAAGAGAGAAGTGATAATATCGATTGCATTACACCGGACACCTGTACAAAATTCAACATTCAGCATGTAGAAAACAGTGAGTTAATTGGCTATTATTGCAGCATCCCTACACCGTATTGTATTCATTTTACAACAGAGTAAAGGTCATGACCATGAACGTGTGAAATTTCCAATTGGAGTGAATGTGAATAAATGTGAAGTGAATTGGGAAATCAGGTAGATGCGTGTTGATGAGTCCATCATTTTTTGCGTGGCACTAATATAATATCCTCACTTGAGTATGTATCATGTCAGCTGGCTCCATGTATTCACAATATCAAAAGTTAAAACATTACCACGAAATAAATCATGAGGAAAATCTCCTGAAAGTATAACCACTATATCATGCAAACATGAGATGTTGAATTCGAGTAGACCGAGTCAAATTATCAATCACATTGAAATAAATGTTTACCTTGCAGCTCTTTAATCGCTGCTTCTCTGCTGATAATCGAGTCAGCTAATTCGCGTAATTTTTCTATGAAAAGGAAAGCGAGAATTATTTAGCATCGATTTTTGAAAGCGATAAGATGTGACGAAACATTGAGGAACAGAACACACACAAAAGCTTGGGTAGGTTAATATAAGACCAATAATATATATCAACATGTAGTCAGTCGTCTTACGTCGAGTATCTGAAAGCAAACTTTGTATTACTTCAGATTTGGTCGATTCACCTTGAAAATTGACAAAATGAAGAGAACAGCCATCGTTACACAAACCACAACTTTAATAACACATGAATACGATGTAAGAATTTGTTAATTTCAGACGCCTGTAGTGCCATTTGAGTACTTGTTTTTTTGGATTCGTGATCTGAAACACTCTTATGAGCAGAACACCAGTTGAAGGATTAAACTTCCCTGACAGCACAGAATTGAATGTTTGCTGCACTCATTTCCTATTTCGGAAATGGAGAGATCATCGACATCGAATTATTATTCATCATTGACGGAAAATGATGTGTTGAGGTGTTGGTGACATAATTGTTTTTCGTACAGAAATATGATCACGGAATAGTCTTACATAACACTTATTTGATAAAACAATTACATTCATCGTATTCCAGAACAGAATAATTTGAAAAGATTGATTCCCAAATGCATATTCATTTAATAAATGCTTACCCTCGTTCATGGTGGCAAACACCAGCAGCGTTATCACAGATATGTAAGTGTACATTGAGTTGAATATATTTTCTCCTTCCTCTGATTTCTCTGGTTCATTTTTCCAGCTTTTATATTCTTCCTGATGGTGAGTTGTAGCGTTGTAATGCGTTTGTCGGTTGATAAAAATAGTGGTGCTTATCTTGTTTTCCATTTGTTGAATGAGGCGAGTGTGTTGATTAGTTGTTGGTGGTTGGTTAAGTGATTTGGTGAGTGAGTGGGTGGATTGGTTGGCGTACGTTCAGCATCACTATAGTATTCTTGTTTTCACGCTACAATGAATAAACTCTCTTAGTTAACAAGTCACTCTTATAACACAAATCCTGCTAGATGCAGATGAAACTCTAAAGTAAGTGTTGTGTTTATTCATCTGGTTAATAAGAGACAATTCAGTAATGAAAATTTTCTTTATTGACGAAGTCATCTTCGGCGGCTGTACAGTCGTATTTATATTTATCGAAAATGCTTATTAGTCCATTAGTGACTGAGTAGTAGGGGTGACATAATTGAGAAAAAGTAATTAGAAGTGGCTTCAAAAGTAAAAATAAACGCTTCAAATTACGTGATACGTAATGATACAATGGAATGAAGCGTCAGAAATTTGCTAAGGTTGAAATTGTTATTGAATAAGAAGAAAGATAATTTAGTGATCATCGCACAAGTGTGAAGAGTGTGAGAAAATGTACAGAAGGAACATGTGAGAGTGATAATAGTGAATCTATTAATAAAGTAACAGCAAAGTAATTATTCAAATTAGAGAATCAGCAACGATTTATGGAGAGTTCAAGAACGTGCTAAAATAAGACTTGACAATCGCTTTCTGTAAACAAAGTTTCGGTTTGCATTCACGAATTGCCAACGTTTCCGCCTTACACAAATGCTGAAACCTGACACCCATTGTACAATTTGACCTCACCTTGCAAATAATCTTGAAAGACGACTCTGCCGAAATTGTGTGGCTTCAGTGGCTCGACAAGTACTCAAGAATTCAGCCAGTAATTGTATTGCATTGTCTTTTTGGCAGTCAAGCCAGATTATGTCCACAAATGCGTTTGGAAAGTGTGCACTTTGTGCAGCCAATATAACTAGCTTGACAGGAACACACATTCAGTTAACGGCACTTCATCATTCACAAATCCATTGCTCATTGATCGGCATTAAAAAGTGATCCATGATGTGGATAAGAATTTCTTAAGTATACTGGCTGCGGCATCACCTTTAAATTCAACGTTCGTGAATAGCAGTTTCTTCGGCATCGTCTGAGTCCTTTAGGGTTATCCCTTTCCTTTCATGTTTTCCACGAATAATCTTCAAAGATACTCGTTTTCCATGAGGACTCGTCTGAGTGTCTTCAGTTCACCATCGATTCTATCAGTGATACATTATCCTAGATATCCTTGAGGATGACAATTGTATCAGAATCGAACAACTGCTGAAAAGCAATCACCGATGCAAATTAAGGTAGTCAAAATTACATGTGAATGTCCAGTAGATTGATTCTCAGAGAGAAGAGTCAGAATTCCGTTTAGAACTCCTCCAGAGTTTCTCCAGGATTCGCAGTCACTTGGTGCAGAATTTTTTGTGGAGATGACAGTCAAATTCCAGATTATCACCATAACAAATGACGTCTGTGAATAATTGCTCAACAAAAGAGTTTTTCAGAATGTCAGTTGTGATGTTTTCAAGCTAACGGGTCTTCATAAGCTACACTAGATGACGTTTGCTTTGAATACACAATGGTGACTGGTGTCTTTTCACTTATCACATGGTGTATACGCAGATTCCTTGATTGGAATAATTTTATACATAATGATTTCGGCTGATTCTAATATCTGGTTATATTCCCTCAAACAGCTATCACAAATAACAGAAGACGAACATTTCTATTCATGACACTATGTGATAAATATCTCACGAAATTTGTTGAAGTGTATTCGAGGAAAGTGGATGAGAAACCATGAGTGATGTTGCCATTGTGTGTAGAATCACTATTCTCATTGAAAGCATGTGATGTGAGTAGCTAGGTCACTTTCTCGAGTCCTATCACCACATCTCACAGACATCTCCGCTGATATTTCTATGCAATTCAGTGTGATCCTTCTCTTCTCTACTCTGTTGAAATAACATAAAGCTAATTGTGTTAAAGATAAGTGAAGCGAAGTGAAATGAAGAAGATGAAAACGTTTGTGTGCTTTCTGAACATCTAAAAATATACAGGAATCTCACCTAGATAATAAAAAGTACTTCACCCCACAGAATGAATCAGGCCATATATTTCTGTGATAAAAACAACGAGGTGGTGAGAGGGGGAAACAGACTACAAGAATTACTCTCTCGCACAAAGACTTGTGATCATTGATTCTGATTATTCTTTAGCTGATGGTCTAATTACTAAAAATTGTTGTCGTAAGATTGAACATGCCACGTTTACAAAATCAACAATGTTGTAATTAAAGCTAACAGGAATTTTGAAGGTCACTTTCTTATCCAGTTATTTGTAAACTTCACCTTAAAAAGCTTAATCTATACAATTTTGTCTAGCTGGACCTAGTAGAGTATTACTGCTTGCAGTTGTCTCAGTGATACTAATGATTGTCACTGCTTTGGTGACAAACATTGACACAGATATGAGTGATAATTGATGCTGGTTTCGTCTTCTTTCTCTTCTTCCTATCAGGAGAGACAGTTGATAAACTCATTGAGAATTCCATCAGCTCACTTAGTATTGAGATATGCAGTGAGTGCATTGTCTTGGAGGGCAATGAATGCTTAGCAAATGAACCGTACAGTTAAGAGAAGATTTTCCGCAATAACGGTTAGCTAATTCCATCTTCAACGATGTACCTGAAATATTCATGCATACTTTGATATTTCAAGTAACTCTGTATTTATTCTCATCTTTTATACCAGGTTGTATTGATATATCACCGTCCCGTTGTGTGAACACCACCCATTGAGTTATGCTTACTATATGTCTTTCTTCGTATTTCACCTCTAATTTTAATGTGTTTCTTTTTGCCTGTGTTATGATAACATTGACAAAGCGTAGTTTTACGTTTGCGATTTTTTAGGTGACGTCAGTTCTGAACTTGGGGTGTTTTTTAAAAGGGTTTGCTTCGAGAGTTCTATTACCTTCATATTTAACCAACACTGAGGGAACTATTCTACTTGATACTCAGGTACTTCTGATAGGTGATTTTGATGAAATAATTCTGTTGTATGGTAGTTGTTTTGGACTTGTGTTATTTCATCTGTGTTGCTGCCTAACAATATTGTCGAGGTAATTTTACGTTTTGATGTTTATTAATTGATGTAAAGTACCGCAGAGCTCATCACAAATAGCTGTCATTATACTATCACCGTGCAACTCTTAACTGTGCACTACTCAGCGGATTTATCGTTCGCTATACAGTAGCACGCAAAGACTGCTTCCCTCAAATCACATCACAACACATCGGTTCTGCTCGCTACAAACACGAAAACACTTGACATGGTGAATTGTTCGAATGTAGTGATCTAGCAAACTATCCACATCTTCTATGACAATGATTGCGGATCAACTATTCCCTATTAATTGCCATAATAAAAAGGCTTCATTTCAGACGGTGTGTCAATACATGATACAGATATTCACAGCGTGTTCGTGTGCGTAATCCTTCATTTCCGTCAGGATCAACAAGTGAAATACGTATCTGCAGAAGAGCATGTGATGCAGTTTTGTTGCATATGCTGACAAATCACGTTCTCTCAGATATTTACCCATCACAAACTCTACAGCTTTCTGTTGGAAACCAATCAGAAATGTGTGTGAGTTTGTGTAGTGATCAAGGAATACTACCGGATGGTTGAAACAATAAGAAATCCACATGATCAAATCAACTAATCACCCATTTCTTCAGATAAACACTTAGTCTCTTTCTCTGTACGGTGTCCACTGCATTTGTAGGAATGAATACAAAATCTGTTTGCATGTCTTTGCTTTCGACTGAATCTAGTCGAGATCCTCTTACGAAGTAAATGACCAACAGGCTGTGCGTCGATGGCACAGCGGTTAGGACTCTCGCCGACCATGGACATGGTTTGAGGTTCGATCACTCGCCGGCGCACACCTGATATCTATGGTCGGCCTGCTAAATTTGGGCTACAGATATCACATGCTGAAAATTTCATACTTGAACCAGAGTCTAGGTCCTGATGGTATACCTGACATTGTCCTAAGGAAATGTGTTGATATTTTAAGCAACCCACTTACAAACATGTTTAATACCTCTTTTTCTAATAATGTTGTACCTTCTCTGTGGAAAGATATTAAAATCATCCCTGTACCCAAGTCAGGCTCTGGTAATAATGCTAAGTTTAGACCTATCGCTGTTACCTCTCCTTTTTTGAAACTAATGGAGAAACTATTGTTACTAAAACTTGTTCCCTCCCTAAGTTTCTCAAACGATCCAAAGCAGTTTGCCTACAAACAGGGTAAAAGTACTTTGGACGCTGCTGCTGTGTTTCATCACAACATTGTATCCTCCTTAGACAAAGGGGCCAAGTTTGTCCGTTGTAAGTTCCTTGACTATACATCTGCTTTCGACTCTGTACCTAGAGGCCTATTGTTAAACAAGCTTAGCCCTACACAAATTGAGCCCTGGGCTATCAACTGGCTACACTCTTACTTCTCTAATAGGATGCAGTACACGGTATATAATGGTGTATCTTCCTCTCCATTGCTTACTGAAGCTGGAGTTCTTCAGGGTGCTGTTCTTTCTCCGTTTCTCTTTTCCTTCTTCTTACATGATTTACCTCTCTCAGATGAAATCAACTTCGTCAAATATGCAGATGACCTGTCTGTATCGTTTCCCATTAAGTCTCAGTCAGACTGTCTCAAATTAAATAGCTTCCTGTCGGACATCAGTCAGTGGTCCAAACTAAATGGTCTCATGCTGAATCCCTCAAAATGCCAGACTATTGACTTCTCCC